AGAATATCAGACAGCAGACAAAAGTACTCTGAACTGACTGAGTTTGAGGTCTTTGTAAACGCAGTGCTAAGATTTTGATTACTCCCGTAACTAACTTTATTCTCGATGGAAAATTGTTCTGTTTGGTAAATGGTTGGGATGCGTTTGAGATCTGGTTCATGGCAGCTGTCTGGCCACCTGCAGCAAGGAGCTGAGGTACTTCTCACTTGACAGAAAGGTTGTGAGATTTATTATCCAAACCAAAATTGATGCTATGTCATTGTGGCTGGTTTAATGGCTCAATAAGTACACTGTCCAAGGTCTTCATATGCAAATTCTGGAGTTACTGGACTGGAGCGAAGAACCAGTGGAGTTTGCAAATAAAAGCTTTTGTGTAATTTAACGTATTCTGTATTTACAAGATGCATTAATTTTCTCCCTTGAAACAATGCAGATTACAAAGTGGAATTGGGGAAACGAATACTGTCTGGAGTTGAGTCTGGAGTTGAGTTTACAATGACTTGTAACGCACTGCAGTGTTCAGTATTTTTATGTGTAGTGCCAAATTTAAAGACCAGTCGTTGAAAGTTTTGAGTCTTTTGGACAGATATAATGTCTGTTATGAAACCGTTGGTGCTCTGTGGTACTCATCAGGTTTACTGAAAGGACTTGCAATGATTGGTCTGGTGGCTTTGCACATTGCTTTGCCCAAAATTAAAATGCCTCATGATGTAATGCCCCTTGTGAAAGTCTTGATGTTGGGTACAAATGAATGATTAGCAATAATGCCTTTGTGTATTCACCGTCACTTGAACTCCTATGTCTACACGAATAGATTGCAGCCTGCAGCCACTTGTTTGGAAACTCAGATACAGTATACAAGCAAACTCTAAAGGTTACATAATATAACAGGCTATATGCGAAACAGTTTCCCCATTTGTGGAAAGAGTGAATTCGGCACTAATACCTGTTACATTAATGAGGGTATTGGACAGTGGATGTCAGAGGGAGCCGCTCCCACAGTAGAAATTGTGGTAAAGTGTAATTACCTCAATAGTGTCATGAATATTTAACCTGCACCTTTGTGACGAGAGCAGAGAATGAGAAAACTTGCTGGCTGTCAGACCTCTGGATTCTGGGAACGGTGGATTTGCTCTTTGGTACACAGCTGGTAGAAGGGCGGAGCAGTGCACCAATGCTCTCAATTATCTGGGGTTTGACGTGGTTTTGAAGCCGTCGAGGGGAAGGAACCGGTAACAAGGCTGCTGCCACACACTAGCAAGTGGCAGTCCGAGCACCATTGGTGCCCGTCCTCAGCAGTGAATGTTTTGTGGAGTGGGGAGGTAGGAACAAAAAAAAAGTGCCCATGTTTTTAAAAGAGATGACAGAACAATAACCAATGTCAGGATTGATGTATAGCTGTAAATTGACGCATTTTAAGGCTATAAAAAGATTTCTCATGTCACAGTTTTTATTTTTTACTTTGTTCAGTAATTGATTCTGAAGGGACGGCTGCAGATAAGTCTCAATTCAGTGTAAGCAAAGCCTTGCTTTAAGCCTAGTCATACAGCTTGATTGTTGGAGCTGTGAACTGGCAGCACTGCTGGTCTGGCACCTCCAGAGCCCTCAGCACACTATGACTTGTGTGTTAGATCAGACTTTCATGGTCCTTTCCAAACCTGGTGAAGTTACTGATACTAAAAAGTGTTTACTTAATGCTGTGGTATCATTCCCAGCAGCTTTGGGGAAGTAAAATCTAGACATTTTGATCCTGAATAATGGTTTGTAATGAATGGTCCTCTTCTAAAGCCGTGATGAGTAGCTTGTTTGTCTCTGATCTGATTCATGTCAGATCATATGTGACTGATCTGGTAGTGAGTCACAAGATGGTCATTAAAATGACGTCTTAACCTTGGTATTTATCAAAATCCACTAAAATCCAGAGTTGAGTAAGTTTTAAATGAGCTGCACCCCAATGGTATGTTTCGGATGTGCAGTTTTACCAATATTTACTAAGCCTTGTGTGTTGGTTAGTTTGAATGCAGCTGAAAAGATGGGTGACGTGTACGCTGTAGGGAGGTGGCAACAGTCAAGTTCAGCAGCAAATCAAACCCTTGCTTTGAAGGACACACTGTTGCATTCAATCAAAATATAGTTAAATGGTAGGTCTATTGTTGAAAAGTGCCAGCTAATTCCACTTGAATACATTGATCAGATTTAGCCAATGTAGGATCAGTTTACAGATGATAATAATTAATAATTCTTGTATTTGAATGTAGCGCCTTTCACGTTGGGAGACCCTTTCAAAGAGCTTCACAGGATAAGACTGCACATTTTGTAAGCGAACACTGAAAATGGTAACCAATGAAAGAAAGACCGTTGGAAGTTTAGAAGTTGACCAGATATGCAGGAAATCACTGTAGTTCAGAGAATGTGCCCATTTCAAAATACTAACTATTAAATGTCTGACTGAAGCGATCTTCAGAGGAGGCAGTCGACTGCATGTCAAAATGACTAGTTTCTGTGTCCCACTGAACTTGTGGTACTGCGTTAACTTTGGACTTCCTCTCCACTCTCAATGGAAAACCTTCCCGATATTAGCTGAGATTACCTATTAAGGAAAAGTTTTCTTTTTTGTCAGAAAAATGCATCTGGCAGCATTGCTGAATGTTTTTCCTTGCATAAACTGAAAAGGGGAAAAAGCAGCGCGTGCTGCCAGAAGGATTCTATTCCCCAAATTGCTGGTGTTGGTATGAAGAACTGGCTAGTGTCCCAGTCTGGGGCTTTGCACGTTGGCACGTGAAGAATAGCTTGGCATTAATGTTGGTTAAATTTACTGTTGAGCTTTATTGTGGCTACTATTTCCCTAGGAAACTGGTTTAACCACTAAACTATATCACTGGGATATTACTTGTACATTCCCTTTCCTCTTCCTTTGTTTCCCTTCTCCTCCAAGCCCAGAAAATGTGAATCTTCAACCTATTCACCCCATATCTGGCCAGCGTCTGTGACAACTTGTGGGATGTTTGCTGTAAGATTCTGTTTCAGGCCTCCTTTTTCTTTCTCCACATAAATTCTGAAATTGTCAATGGTTTCCTTCCTGTTTGAGTGTTCGTGGGCACATTTTGTAAGCGATTGTGTGGTTTCCTAGGCTGGGTCCATTTCCTGTGTGCTCATCTAGGAATCCCCTGTTTTATTTTTCCATTTGGATGCCTCCTTTTAAGTAGAGCCCAAATAAATTGCCTACAAAAACAGTTACTACACCTGACAGCAAGGTCCCATGACCTTGAGACACTTCACTTTTTCTTACTTCGGTTCTTGCGAAAAAAAATTGATCTTTCTTCGGGTAACGTGACTATTGCAGTTCGGGTTTTGTCTTTATTGGTTAGTTGACCTCAGCTTTATAAGTGGTCCCATTTCCTCATGTCACAGCCAATTCCCAGGATATGTGACTTAGATTAAAATTCTGTTTGTGCTGCTTTCTGTTGCAGTTGTGTTGCTAACAGGAGCACCTGTTTTACTGTATATACTTTCGGGTTGAGAAGTTTGCAATGAAAGGCCGACCAGCTGTTCCACCCCATAACATTTGTAGCATTTACAATATTCTCCTTAAAAATGCAAATGTTGAATGAATTCCCATCGTGCTGGCCAAGCTTGACTAAGCAACCAGTGTTGCACTATTGACTCATGATGAATGTGGTGGGCAGATGTCTTAAAAGCTTAACAGCTGAGCCCCTCCAATGAAAAGGATAAACCTTTTTACATACCGTAACGTGGGGAATGTGTTTGGAGAGGTAAAGGACAGACAATAAACTCTTGTGCGTAAAGGTCAATGTAGCTGCACCTGGGTCTCAAGATTCTTGCAGCTGGTCTGCATACAACAGCCTGAACCCTACTGAAAGACTTACAGGAACATGGAGTCATTCTGTATTTGGGCACTCAGCCACACTGAAAGGTTTTGAACCTTCTGCAGACATTGTACTACACAAGCTGCCATTTTAGTGATGGACATTGCACCATTGGTGCCCTTGTTGCTTTCCTGTGGATCAGGATTTGTGAACTTGCCTTCCTGTAATCGGGCCTAGGTTGAACCTGAAATGAAACGAAAAATCTCCTGTGTCCAGGCCTTGTAGATGTGTCGTGATGTCTTTTTGAACTTGAGGGTAATTTAGGATTAAGCAAACTTACATTAAATGTGATGGTCTCCTTTATAGACTCTATTCCATTTACTTTTCTAATGTAGGTAGTACTGAGGATAGTCTTAACTGTTTGCAAAAACCTAACTAGTTTGATTGTAGCTCACTTTGTTGAAATAGATTGCTTTGTTTTCCTCTTGAAGCTTTCCCCAAGCACGTCTACAGCTGAGAGCACAGACTGAGCACGTACTCTGCCAAATGAGTTTCATCAAGATTAGTTGAAGGTTTTGCTTCATGCCCAGCCCCTCCTCACAGTGGCATGGCTAAAACTGGGACTTCACAAGTTGTATTATTCCCGAATGCCCAGAGGTAGAGCTCTAATGTGTTTGACACCGCACTGTTTGCTTTTATCTCCCTTCTCCCCCCCCCCACCACCCCCGACCCCAGCCCGGGTCTGAAATGCTGTACTCTGTCCAGCGCCTTGGGACGTCCTCCCGACGTGAAAGGCGCTATACAAATGTAATCTTCTTGTTGTTGTTAAAGTTTTACCAATAAGAGTAATGAATATTGTATGGAAAATGATCAGTTATGTCAGCAAAGAGGCACCCACCTTGACTTACTTAACTTGAAACATCAACAAATACATTGTGGGAGTTAAGTCATCTTTTGCGTTGCTGCATGTTCCCATGCTCATTTGTTTTTTTCTTTTTAAGCTCCATTGTCTTGCACAACACTGAAGCATGTTTAATTCCCTCTGTGACATTTCTATAAATGTTATAAATATTTGTGACCCCACAAAGCAAATGTTACACATTCAGTTCAATTGAAATCTGGCCAACCTCGTCCCACTCCGCTAATCTGCCTCTCATGTTTGTTTCCTCTCAGGAAGTCGAAGACTAAGCCAAATGGTAAAAAAACAGCAGCCGAAGAGAAGAAATTGTACTTGGAGCCGGAATATACCAAAGCCCGAATTACAGACTTCAACTTCAAGGAGCTGGTGACTTTGCCGCGTGAAATTGACTTAAATGAATGGCTGGCCAGCAACAGTAAGTTTCTGTAGTTCAACTCAGCGATTTGCATACCTTGCTGCACATTCATTTTGTGTTAAGTACGAGTTATAAATGTTTAATGGTCCATATTCCTGCAAAGTGCTTCAACCTGTGTGCAAGAGGAAACCAAATCTACATTCACCCGTGTATAATTAAGTCCATTCAAATATTCCATAGTGTTGGACAGCAGCATTGTCCAATAACTATCATGGTGCTGAAAACCCATTGTAAACTTACGTTATTATTAGCACATGCCGGTCTGCCTGTCTGACCGTATCCTTCTCTGTTCACCCGATCCTCTCCAAAGATACTTTGAGACTTTCTCTAACCAGCAGTTTTGAATGAATAGTTAAATATTGTGCAATGAAGGTCACCTGTAACTGAAAATGTACTGGATTAATCAATCATCTGCGTGAACATTTGCATTTTATTGATTTATTTTCACAATTACATTTAACTTGAGAATCCCTTCATCCATCTTGTGAGGTTCCAGCCAGCTATTTGTAACATTATCTGTTGTCCACAGAAGCCATTTGAAATTGATTTATATAAATTAGTTCCAATAATGTAAACTTCATTATATAAATCCTTCACCCAATCATTCCTACCATGTTAAGTCTGTGGTTTGCAGAAGTTTTCTGTGGATTCTGTACCTTGTCATAAAACACCTAACCTATTTTTGTTGTATTTCCTCCCACTTTAGCAACAACATTCTTCAATCACATAAACTTACAGTACAGCACCATCTCCGAGTTCTGCACTGGAGAAACATGTCAGACTATGACCGTGTGCAATACGTAAGTACTTTCACAATAACCCTTAAATGACAGGTTACTGTAACTTTGTGAAAATCTCTGAGCTATTTCCTGGACCAAAATCCACAAGCACAAACTCCTTTTCCAAAGTTCTAGGATGTATGAAATGTGCGCTTCATCTTATCTCCTGATCACTTCTGCATTGCTGGATACTTCTGAACTCATGAAAGGTGGGTGGGGTGGACTTCTATACAGTCCGTAATATGAAATAGGATTTTCCACCGTGTAGTGGCTGGTCAGATATTTCCACATAACGCATAATGTTGCTGTGGTAACCCATATATTGTACATTGTTGATCTAATGTTAAACCAATTCAGTGACATTACTTTTTGACTTTCGACTTATGTCGTGAATGGTAAATTTTGCTTTAAAAATCCCTATGATTGGCTCCCATCCACCCATTCTTCCCCTGCCCACATGTCTTTGTGTTGTGTTTTTATTTTGCGTTCAACTAAATTGAATTAGATGTGGAAATGTTATATAAAATGGCTGATAATTCCATTCTGCCACCAAGTGAAAAAGTTCCTCACAGATGTGCAATGATAATAATAATGTAATAATGATGTGAATTGTTGGCCTGAAAAGGTTCTGTGCTAAGCATAACATGACATGTAGACATGAAGAAAGCTGTGGCTTTTGATGAGGCTTGAGAAGGAAGTCAATCACATCACTTGAAGCAATCCTTATCCTATTTTCTCGTTGTGTACCAGTCTGTACAACTTCCTTATTTCTTGTGGTCACAGCTGGTAGAAAGAGTGGAACTGATAGAATCACAGTTTAACCTCAGCTACACAGTCCTTTTACAACAGTAGAATCTGTCTTGTTCCTTCATGTGTTTCATGTTGCTGATGAATTGAAGGGTACTCTGGAGTAGTAGTAAGTGACCAACCTCAAAATGTTAGAAAAAAGCTGGAATAATGCAGTCGGTGGAATAAACTCTACCTCATCACTTTACTTCTATTCTCTCATTTCTGAAAGATCTTTTAAGATTTATTTTGTTTCCTGCCTTCTCCTTCTTACTTCCTCTTACCTGCAGCCCCCCAACACTTACTAATTCCAGCAACTCTTTACTAGGCCTTTATTAGTTTCTCCCCCCTCTCTCTCTCTCCCCCCCCCCCCCCCCCATGCCTCCTCCGTCGCTCATCAAAGCATTTTAATCAGTATTTTCCTCTTCCTGTGAGGGTATTGCTTAATCTTCACTTTCCGCCTCCCTTATGACCTCCTGTAAGGATTTATTTATGTAGCCAAATACTTATTAAATAAATTGACTTTGAGTAATAGTCACTATTGGGCTACCTCAGACTCTCTTTTCTTGGCATGTTTGCTTTCCCAAACGCAACGTGGTGAATTTTCTTCCATCAAATGCTTTTGCGATCAGTGGTGGTGCTGAATCATGTCTGTGAGGCCTTCTACTTACAAAATAAAACATGGTAAGAGAGGCACCAAAAGTGCACAGACTTTTAACATTTTAGTTTAACCAGTTGCTAACCTTGCACAAATGTTAGCCTTCACAAAGACTGTGTAATGCTGAAACTTCCATATAGTTTAACTTGAAAATGACTAATCATTTAAGCAGGAGAAATGTAATATCCCACTTACCTGTTTGTTGTTTGAACATGGGACCAGGAAGTTCCTGGTTTGAATTGTGGCCATTTCTCTTCTTTTCCCCTCGCCCAAAAAGAAAGGATTCTACGTAATAATTTGTAGAGCTTCCTGCAAGAACTGAAAAGCAAAGGGGTGGCTGCTCAACCATGGGGTCCTTAGTGGTGCATGATTGAGCTTCAGGGTTAGTGTCCCGAATGACATAGTTTCAGAAAGAGGAGGGGATCTTTGAAATGAAACTTCAATCAGACCGCAGCTGTAAAACTTTGCTTGCTGTCTTAACTGTTGCCAGTGCCTCTATATGTTACTCTTTCAAGTTTAAATTCAGAAGTTCACATCTCAACATCCAAGACTGGATCTAAAAGCTACATATTCTCAACAAAATAGAAGCTTGGTGCAGTGATGCATTCATTGTAGAATGAATGCAATAACTAATGTCTTTTGTAACAACACACATTTTAATCCTATTCATTTTTGCAAAGCATGTCAAAGAATTGGGTTACATCTACAGGTGGAGGCTGGTACATGGCATGTTCAGACTTTTGTGAAGCTTTTTAATGTTGTTGTATGAAAGGAAGCTTGGCCTCGGGGTTATTGCACAAGGGCTGAATCAACACCTGGTGAGAGAGGGAGGGGTCCTGGCCAATTGTTGCATAAGTATTCCAAGTAACACAAATTCCTCCTGTTGACTTGGATCTAACTTTACAACATTAGTTAGATTTACTCAAGTATTGACAGACCGAAGGTAAAAGTGTGTACTGTGAATATTGATGTAGCCGTCAGAAAATTCACTAGAATACACTAATTTGAAGTATTTTGGCCAATTTTACCTCAAAACATAGAACTCTTAATCATTTCACCAGAGTGTTAAGTAATTGCAATGCACGTAAATGTCTCATAATTGAGTCACAATTTTTCAAATCAAGCTTGCAAATAAATCACTGGCTTCATGTTTGGTTCGGAATGGCATGTCCAACGTGTGTTTAGGATGTAAACCTCTTGCGGTTTTGTTGCAATCTGTGAGCAGGTTTACCTCTGCAGGAATGCATGGAATATAAAAGTGGTATTTTATTGCCTGGAAGTCCATCATGTAGCCTTGAGAACCAGTGGAAGTTGATGGTGGTAGAAGTTGATTGAGTTGAACTGATGGCAAGGCTTGGAAATTCCTCAACTCCACCTCTAAGTGACTATGGTCCTGGTTCTCTTAAGATTCCAATACAACAACTTATCAAAACCTTGACATAAAATACTGCAGATGCTGTAAAAGCCTTGGTTTTGCTCCAGACCTTGCTGAAGCTACTACCTTAGAAACAATAGGAATGTCAGGAAAAGGTCATTTTGGCAGATTAATCCCATCTCCATCTTTGTCTTCCATCACCTCAGCATTTCGTGACCAGTTATTTTTCCACGCAGGGCTGCTGTTACCTTTATGCACGGAAGATTTATTTTTGAGCCTCGCACATAACTTTCTGTTTGGCTTCAATTCAAACCAGACTGATGTGCACTTGTCAGAAGAACAGTGATTTGGGCAGGTTTGTGAAACCAGTTGGAGAAACCCAATACCAGCCTGTCAGCAGGACTTGTAGCAGCAGACGGGGGAGTGGGGTGAGTTCAAAGGAAAGTAAAAGTAGTCTCATTTAAAACAGATAAGAACCTGTCTACAAGTCTAATCCTGCTTAGAATGTGTAAAATCCTTGCATTTGACATAGACGAACCTTATCACGTCGTTGAGATGTCTCAAAGAGACCACATTTTTTTGAGGGGTTATTATATGGATTATTATTAATACCATCACCAAACATAGTTCCTGAAAGTTTGAATGTGTGTTTGGTGATGATATTTCAGTGACCTTGGAGATAAAATAGAACGGTTATAGTCCAGCTCATCTATGTCAGTTCTTGTACAGATTGGTTACCCTTTGACTTGTTGTAATAGCAGTGTCTATCTCAGCTGCATAGCCTGGAGCACACTAGCACATTGTCACTGGCACGTACCCTGACCTCATTCCATGTTGATCAGATCTAGTCTCTTCTTTCCCCCCACCATCAGTTTTGTTGGTGAGGTGCTGCCAGCGACAGCATATCTATGCTGCCTTCACACAGCCACATTCCTGAGCAGATGAGTGCGAGAAGAGTGACATTAATCAATGAGACATTAAAGACTTGGGAATCTGCAGCTGCTCGAACTGCTTCCAAGAAACGGGAACTTGTTTTTCAGCTCTGCCAGAGTTTACACTAGGTTGAAACTGCTATTGAAATGCTGTAAAATATAATAGCTTTAAATATACTGGCTTTCACATACTGCATTTACTTACCCCTGATTTAGAAGGCTCCTCTAAGTTTTAAAAACGAACTAATTCTAATGGTTTTCAAGCTCCCAATTTTTATCTGTCACCTCATTGCAAAGATTTCAATCGCATATGACTATGCAAAGTGGGCTGAGATGATGCGCAGCACCACATAGGAATATCACGTGGTTATTGATGTTGGTAGGCAGATGGCTCTGAAATCAGCCGAGCACTATGACCTCTTCGCCTACCTTCGCCGTAAAATTCCACCAATTGTTGATTTCTCTACAGCTGTTTATTCAAGGGCCCCAGAGCCTTTGCCAAATAAGGGGCATTTTTGCCGTGTTGACTTCCACAAGACGCTACATTTTTCCTGTGAGCATATATTATTGTAAGTTTCCGTTGTCTGCAAACGCATCTCCTAAAAAAGCCGCTTCTTTAGATCTTGCATCACAGTTCAAACGTCTTTCCATGTGATTAGCCAGGAATGCCAGTGGCTGGGCAAGCGTGAGAGCAGACTGTGCGATACTCCCTTTCACTCGGTCTCCAAATAATCTGGGTCATTAATGTCCCTTGCATTCAATTTTGACCCAGTAGCTGAACAGTTTATCAGTAAAGCAGTCGTGCTGATGTAGGCAATCCTCAACTCAGTTGTGAAAAAGTATGAAGTAAAATGAGGCTTTTCCAGAAAATCAAACGTGGAAAGTGATCAGAGTATGGACCAAAGATGCAGTTATTCAAATAGGTTCCCTTTCCCTCCTCTGAAACTAAATTGCTTCATGTTTTCTGACCTTGGTTTCTCCAGTTGTGGATGTGGAGTTCTTGATTGCTGCAGATGGACTGAATTCTTTCTGAAAGATATTTAAACCGTTTAGAGCGTGAGTTTTATTTGCACCATGAATATTTTTGTGATTCTTGTATTAGATACCTTTTGTCTGGATTGTGTCATCTCGTGGAGTCCTGTAGCTCAGTGGTTAGAGCACTCACTTTGCAAGTGAGAGACCTGAGTTCAATTCCAGGCAGAGAGCGAAACCTTGGGCAAGTTTCCTTACTCCACACAGAGCCTAATAATAATCCCTCCAAAAACAATAATAAATTGGTCACTTTCAATCCACGACTGTTTGTGGGACATTGCTGTGCGCAATTGGCTGCCGCGTTCGCCCACAAATATACAGTCAATTCACTTTACAGTGTGTTCTGTGAAGCGCTTTGGGACGTCCTCCCGACGTGAAAAGCGCTATATCAAATGCAAGGATTATTATTATTATTATATAAATAGGTTCAGCACAGAGTTGTAGATTTGTATTAAAGCAACAAAAATTGTCGTTTCTTGACAGTGAAGTGCAACCTTTTTTTCTTATACCAGTTTTGCTCATTAGCCGTGTTTGTGACCAAAAAAGAGAACCTGAGCAGTTTTACAAGAAGACATATCTTAAGGCTTAAGAGCCAAGCTTTGACTTTTCGTAGGTGAGGTTCTTGTCTGAACCTGCTGTTGCCTGCAGTTAAATATCTTTACCCTGGTCAGGTGAGTCTACACTTGCTAAAGGAAGGACTGCAATTATCAAAGGGAATCTGATTCATACTCAGGAACTGCTGAGGGGAAGGAGTTAGCATGAAATGTTTCTGAACAAAAGTGAAATTAAGATTATGGTGTAATAGGCTCGTAGGGAGCTGTGATGGAACTCTGCTTACAGCTGTTCCAGGCATCACTAAAAATTGATGCAAGTCAAAGTCCTCAGAACAAATGGTATTTAACCAGTGAGGGACACTAACTGGTCACAGCTCACTTGACGCTTAGTCACAAAGCAAATTTCTTTCACACATTGAGTGTACAGTGAAATGAAGCTGCAAGGTTTCAGTATTTTTCTGCGAGTTGTACTCTTATGTATTAGAGTGCTATCATAGACCAGATTAATGTCCTATCGAGCCCTTCTGCCACTGAGATTCCAATTAGCCAACTGTATTATAGCCTGTTTTTGAACCAAGTTCCTGTAGGAATTGAATCGTAAAGTTTGTAGAAGCCTCGTTTTTGAGTTTTGTGTTTAATGACTAGATTATATATATTATTATTATATATTATTTCCTTAAAGTCAGCAGATTTGGGAGCTGCTTGCACAGTTGTGCTGACACTGTCTCATTTCAGCGCCTTGGGACGTCCTCCTGACGTGAAGGGTGCTCTATAAATGTAATTTTGTTGTTGTAGCTTCGGGGCACATAGCACCTGCCTTCAACTGTTTACAAACGCTGATAAAGCTGACACCAATGCTCTTAGCTGACTTGCCATCGGCAAAACTGTTGTAAGGCAAATCTATCTACCGCAGCAAGCATTACCAGCGCATTGTTCAACACTCAGTTCAGCTTTGCCGTCGCCAGCAGTGCCTCTGGCTGTGAGCTAAGTGGGTGCCAACAGTGAGCAAAAGCTCCTTTGAGTGTATTGAATTCATTTTGCATGTACGTGCAATGTCTATAGGACTCTGCACGAGAGCCGAGTCTGTATGGCTCTGGTGAACAAAAGTGGCGCCTGTTTGTCACTGGTCTTTGTCTCTCTCCTGGCCGCTGCTGGTACTGACCCTACACAGTCCGACTGTGACCGGTCCAGACTGCACATTGTGGTCGTTTCGCTACAGTTCTTCCTCCATGCTGCGGTGATGGTTCCATACTCTGCTCCCCTTCTGTTTCAGGCTTCATGCAGTTCCTGCAGGCAGCTGGATGGTCCCAGACTAACTGAAGCCCCCAATTACATTAATTGCTCATGTGCGTTCCCCACCAAGTGTTCATTTATTCTGTATCTCTTTATAATACACTACAACTCACCAGCCAGTCAGGAATCTCGGTGTCTTGTTTGACCCTCAACTGTCTTTTCTCCCCCACATCCAAGCCATGACCCGCTCTGCCTTCCCTCACCTCTGTAACAACGCCCGACTCCGCCACTACCTCACCCCTCAGGCCGCTGAAACTCTTGTTCATGGCTTCATCACCTCCAGGCTCTACTATGCAAACGCTCTGCTTGTCGGCCTTCCCAACTCCTCCCTCCACAGGCTGCAGATAATCCAGAATTCTGCAGCCCGTGTCCTCTCCCGCACCAAACTCTGTGACCCCATCTCCCCACTCTCGCCCGACTCCATTGGCTCCCTATCCTTCAGAGGATCCAGTTCAAAGTCCTGGTCCTCATCTACAAAGCCCTCCATGGCCTCGCCCCACCCTACCTCTGTGACCTCCTAACCCCTACCAACCTGCCTTACCATTGGCAGGAGAGCCTTCAGGCACTCTGCCGCCAAACTTTGGAATTCCATCCCCCAGTCACTCCGCCTCACCCCCTCCTTAGCCTCCTTCAAGTCCCGCCTCAAGCCCCTCCACTTCGACCATGCCATCGGCCACCCCATTTCCCCTCCTCTCCCTCCCCCCCGACCCCAGCTCGGGTCTGAAATGCTGTACTCCGTCTAGAGCCTTGGGACGTCTTCCCGACGTGAAAAGCGCTTTACAAATGTAATCTTGTTGTTGTTAATAAATACCTTTAAATCATACATCACTATATTTTTGTAACAATTAACGTTACAGTGAGCTACGCGACATTACTCGTGTTCATAGGTATAAACCTGGCTTCTGTAGCATCTTGTACAGGGTCCTGATTCTTGTCCTCCACCCTGTTTAGCAGCAATGCCATATTTCAAATGATGACCTGTAGATGTTTTGGGTGTTCACTGCTGCTGTGTTTACCATTGCAAATGTGTGTTCATTTATAATCTTAAAACGGTACTATTGAAGTGTAGGTTTGGAGTACATTCTTGTTTATACTTGCACAATCAAAGCTGCATTTTTCCAAGACCTTTTGACACTAGGCTGTATAAGAAAGCAAGTTCCAAATTGTATTGAAGTAGGCTGAGTGTGTTGTGTCTAACCTCGTACACCTTTATCAGCTACATGGCACCATGCTTTGATGCTGGGGTTAGTCTCTCACAGTGTTTAGCTGCTCTGGTCTACCAGTGGCTCATGCACATTCGCACAATAATATACGGAATGTAAATTGAACTAAATAGCTGTCAGTAAGTTGATAGATCCACTGGGTTGGGCTGATGCAAACCTATAGTTTGTCACCCAAACTCTGATTGAATTGCAGCTTGTATCCTGTTGCCAGCTATTGAATTGTGTCTCGTTTTGTTGCACCCCAAGCACATCACTTTCCAGCGCAGTAATACATGTACATTTATGGTTGTGATAAAGTAAAATGGTAGTTTATTGGTGAAATGCAAAGAATTCTGTATTTCCCTCCACCCCTCCCCTTGTACATCGCTTCCAATATTAAAGACATTATACAAGCTGAACATCAAAACAAGGATTTTATTTAAATATTAAGTGTTCGCATATTAAAAATGCTTACATTTTATTCAGACTTGCTTTGTTTGAAGAAGCACTTTTTGATTTTGGCAGTGGGTTTGGAAGAAAACTTTTTTGTTTGTATTGGCTAAACACAAGCCCTTGACCTGAAAATGGCTCTGGCGTATGGAGATGGGAGTTAGCGAGATGTAGATTATCCAATAAGAATTGTATTCTGGAGAATTGCAACCTTTATTTCTCTCTCTCAACAGGCAATATTACTGGTATGATGAGAGGGGAAAGAAAATCAAATGCACAGCACCCCAGTATGTGGACTTCGTAATGACTAGTGTACAGAAGTCTGTGACAGATGAAGATATTTTTCCAACAAAATATGGTAGGTTTTCATTTATCTTTTTGCAGTTTAAAATTCTGATTCTTGCGCTCAGAGTCGGGTATCCAAGATACAGTTTTGGTTGCCTCGAAACTGGTTCTGTTGGTGAGAGCTGTGCCCTCGCTCAGTGCATTAAACTCTTACAATGCACACAATCTCAGAGTAGCAATCAACAGTTGGTATTATGCGTGAAGCATTAGGAATTGTTGATGGCTTAACATTTATAAAATCAGGAATTTGTTTCACAGGAGTCTTGTTAAATATTAGATAGAATTGTGTGTGTGTTGAGACTAAATTGTGTGCTCTTGGATGGATCTCTGGACTAACCTAAAGAGTTGACTGTTCACATACTAGAGTTCTTTGTCTTATTTTAAAAATGACTTCAATCCTCAGAGAGAAGTCCTAAAAGTAAAAGTAAAAGCAGCTGACCCTGGCTGGAACAGACTAGTATTTGTCTCCATCGCCTCTTTGCCCCGTGACTCGTTCCCCCGTTTTGTGCTTCCTCTGCCCAGGTGACATTTTAAAAATCAGTTGACCACTGCATTACTATATGTGTCTGACAACTAAACACTCAGATTACTCCATGCTTCCATGTGCAAATTTCATCCCAGGAATGGTTCGGTTGCTGTCCCTGGGAACTTGAATCTGCTGTGGCTGTATTCAGGCTTTCTGATTACTCTGAAAGGTAAAGCCAAAATATAAAACAGTTTACAGTCAGAACAGTGCCTTGTCCAGGATTCGTTACTTTTTTGTTTGCGTAACGTGTTTGCCTTGCTGATAAACGAATGAGCGAGGCACTGATTTTTCTCTGTTAAAATCACGTGCCGGCAACAGCATGGCCGGGTGTGACTCAGAGCTGCTGCTGCCATAGGATTCTGAATCATGGTTACTACAATATATTTGAAAAGGTTTATGATTTCAAGCAACCGATTGGTGGATCTGGAGGGGGTAGGAACACAACTATAGATAACCATTTTGTGGTTATTACTGGTGTGGTGATAAGGAGTTCCAGGACTGAGTGCTGGTTATCAGTGACTGCTGCTATTTGTTCTCAGCAAATATAATTAGCGCAGCTTACGAGAATGGTATTTTACAGAACGGACTGCAAACAACACTGGGTTCATAGCATTCCTTTGAAATCCTACAACCTAATTTTCTGCTCGAGTTATTTGCTTGTGGAAAATAGCAAGTCATTTCCTGTTTGGACTTTCCCATCCAGTTAGTTAACTGAGAAATAACTTGCATTTTTATAGCATCGCCGTCTGTGTGCTTTACTGTAACTGTTAAGAGTGTACTGGCTGGACTTATTGGTAGGCAGCTGTGGCAGCCATTTTGTCCACAGCAAAATCCCATAAACAACCGTAGATGTAATAGGGTGATGTTGGCTCGGACCTGGGGAGAAATTCCTGTCTCTTTTCAAATTGTGATCACCACTTCCATTTGAGGACAGGCAGAACTCCAGTTCAATCATATTTCCTTCAAAAAATTGTACCTCCCACTGTAGAGCATTCCCACAGTCCTACTCAGCAGCGTAAGCCTCAACATTTTAGTGCTTGATTCCAATAATGAAGGGATTATTCTCAGATACCTGACGGTTAGCTTTCTCAGTTAGCACTTTTCAGTCTTAACAAAGGGCCTGAGCGTCGGGGAAACATTTGAGTTGCTTGTGCTGCAACCCTGTAGCTGACAGGAGTCTCAGACTGCCTTTGGGTGAAGGTCAATGCATCCATTTCATGAAAATGAATATACTGTCCACTTTAATTCCTTTGTGCCGTTTTCAGTGCTCTAACTGACTGTCTGCATTAGGGTACTTGGCCTCTCACAACATGATAGGGACTTGGCTCCCTCCAGTGGTAGGCAAGATGTTTTACCACTGAGTTACACTGAATTATATTCACTAGATTAGCTGTGTCTCGTACATGTTGCCTTTCAGAGCCTCAAGTATTTTAAAGTTCTGCCTCTGACCTTTCTGTTAAGCACTTCGAGACGTCCTGCTGATATGAAAGGGCTGTACAAGTGTGCATTGTATCTTACCCAGTTGCCGTTTAAATAGAGGAAATCCTTTAGAAAAGTTATTGGGATTGATTGGTGCATCGGGATCAGAAGCCCAGTTTGTTTTCTCCCTCCCGCCCATTCAGTGCATTAACTCTCCGCTTGCTGTGATATCAATGCTAACTTCTAACCTTATTCCATTTCTCTTGTTCCAGGCAAAGACTTCCCAAACTCCTTCGAGTCTCTAGTTAAAAAAATCTGCAAGTATCTATTCCACGTACTAACGCACATCTACTGGTCCCATTTTAAGGAGTCTGTTGCATTGGACCTACACGGACATTTGAATGCACTGTATACACATTTTATGTTATTTATAAGGGAATTCAACTTGGTAGACCCAAAGGAAACAGTTATCATGGATGACCTGACTGAAATTCTCTGCAACAGCACAGAGGCACAGAACCACATCAAGGAAAGATGAACCACATATGTGCAAGGAAAGGACATTTGATCATGACGACTGTGGGACTTGCTCGGATGTGGAATTTCATTTCGCGCAACGTAAATGAGGTGTTATTTTTAGGAAAGAACCACATTTGACATGGGAAGATGCTTTCTAGAATGGTGGTATTGCCATTTTTAATGTATCCTGATCTGCTATTAAGTGACCTCTTATCTATTGAAGTGGCAGGCTGACTGACAAATGTGCTTTGTGAATCTGCTTTCTCCCCGCGCAGAGTAGGGAAGGGAGAGCCATGACATTTACCAGAAAACAGTGCTGGGAATTTGGATGATCAAGTTCTTGGGATACCAAAGCCATTGTATTGCTATTGATCCAGTGCCTCTCCTCACTATTGCACTCAAACCAGTAGGTGCATTCAGGCAGCAGTGTTCATATTTCTATTTTTAAAAAAACTTAACCCACAGCTGCTAATAATACTTGGCTTGGATTCATACCTGTTGGATGAAATGCCCGTGTCCCCAACCCCCCATAAGATGTTCTATACTCCTAAGTTAACCAATTAGCCTCAAAATATGAACAAGTATTTAAGCCAATGCTGATGGGAGGGAATGGTGTAACAACATGAGTGATTCCAAGTGACCAGGCCCCAGTTTAGCATTAGAATGAATGGGTGACTGGGGCTTCTGTTGCCACTTTTCAGTGCGCTCCCATCACATGGGGCCCTTCGCTCCACTATCTGGGAACTTTTCTGATTTAGTGCAAGGGAAATGTCAGTCTGATTCTTCTCCAAAGGCAGCCACTTACGAGCGTCCATAGAAGCCACACTTGCTTTGTAAATACTTCTGAAAGGTTGGTGTGGTGTATGAGTGCAAATAGCAAATGTAGTGACTTTATTGATTTATTACGCCTAATTTTTGTTATCGCATCTTCTAACTTTTAGCTATGCAGCTGAACCCTCAAGTTTGTTGGGAATAAATAAAGGGAGAGTTAATTAAGAGTTGGGGATCACAGATTTCCAATCTGGGTTCCCTTGGTGTTGGTTTAAAGCTGAGGGATGGCACACAATATTCTGATTATTTTATTTAGAAGTGTAGTTTTTCCCCCACCCACCGTTTAAGTTTGTTTCTCTTATGTTACGTTGGGAAAATGTTGAACCTCAAACCTCAGGTGGTTGTGGTTCAGTCTGGTTTCCTGCAAATGTTTTTCAAGCAAATTTATTTTATTTTTTGGCTTCATTAATATAAAATCATAAATAAAAAGGGACAAAAAAGAAATGCCTGCATGGTTGTGGATTGATGCTTACTGTACAGTGCATATATTTATAGAAGGGTATGCCTTACTGTATATAAATATTCACCGACACATTCTATGCCTTAGACTGTGCTGAAGTTTATAACGGTACTGGCAAAGCCAGTCTGGAGCTCTGAATGCTAAAATGTGAGAGAGAGTAAGTGAGGAGTCAAACAGTTGTGTCCGTGCAGGGTCACCACCAACTGTTACTGCTCACTTACAAAATAACCACCTTGAAAGCCTGATCAGCAAACCTACAACTCGTGATCTGTAAATAATGTGGTTATTACCTTTATACAAGATGAGACAATCCTCCTTGCCGTTCTTCAGACTGGGTAAGATGTTGCCCATGCAGGGAAAAAAATCAAATAAAATAAATAAAACCTTTAAATGTCTTAAGTTTTATTTGAAATGATTTTGAATTTTATAGCACAACCTTGTTAAGGGGAGTGGGGGGGGGGGGTGCGGAGGGGAAGTGATTAAATCTTGCTCTAAAGAAGTCAAAGGCTTACCTGTGAAGTGTCTTGGGCAGTTATCTTGTTAATGTGCATTTTTATTGAGGTTCATCTGATCTGGCGGTGTCTTTGTGGAAACCAGCAGCCAGACATGTCTGCTTTCTGCACAAGCAGCTGGGAAACCTAAGCAGAAAGTTTCCAAGAAGGAAAAAACATACTTCAAATTCAGCTTCAGCATTAGCCACAGGATTTGAACCTCCAAGCAGGTCAGTGCTTTGAATCATCTGGTGATAGTTCTATAACTAAAGGGAAGTTGGTATTCCACCAACTCCTACACATGGTTTTGTTCAAGGACAGATGTTGACCGAATTTCAGGTCCCTATTTATAGGAAGCTGCTGAAGGTGGGAGTATTGGAGCTGGAATTTAAGACAACAAACGTACTGCCAACATTTTCTTATGAAGTATTAACAGAAATTGTTAATTAATTCGAAGGGGTTGTGAAAAGTCAAATTATTTCCATCCCTGGATTGTAACAAACTACCCCTCCCATCTCAACTTAATGTTGAGAGACTGTAGGTCTACTAGATTCTCCAGTCCAAAATATCGATCAGCCTGCATCCATGGGAACTTGAATTTTTAAAAAATGTAAACATTTATATCAACACATCAAATTCTCTGGACATTTGGAAACAAATGAATGTTTTTGATGCTTTATTGCAATGATTACCTTCCACTTTTGGCACCTCCTTTGATTATGGCCAAACATTGTGTAAATGTCATCTCATCTCCACAGTCCATCTGCAACAGCAGGAGCGGTTAGAAACTATAAATAGTTTTTGGAAATCATGAGGAATGAAACATTTTGGGTCCATTAACAAAGGATTATATTAAACATGAAAGAGCTATGAATCACCCCCACCCCAGTAAGGATGCCTGCCTATTTACAGAGAAAACAACTCTTAAATGGAATGTTTCAATGATGTTTAGTTGCAGCCAGACCCTGCAACAGTGATCGTGGGTCAGGCTTGACAAGCTGCCAAAATAGTTCATCTAAAATCAAATCTATTACAAAATACCTGTCAGCAAACCATGAAAAGAACAGAAAAAGTGGCCAAGTTACACCACATTTCTAAATATCTGGTATGAGTGTTATCCCTGCTGGCAAAAGATGACATTTTATGAAGCACACCTTTCCTTGATTATAAGATCAATTCTTTTTATAACAATATACCTTTGGCCAATGATGGAAATGCAACAAACATTGAACTTCAATTCATTATCCACTTATTGTTGTAAAGAATAATGCAGGTTTTGGAACAGCTTCCTTCCTCGTGCTAAAATTAATGAAAATTCAATGCAGGATCCTGTTTATGCCATTAGCCACCAAGAAAATCTATACAAAGGAAGCCCGAGACACTAGATTGGTTTATAAACCATGCTGTGGTACTAGTGTGGCCTGAAAGCACTCAGTACTCCACACTGTGACAGTGGGATTGAAATGGATGATGAACCCATTGCCAGAGAAGTGAGTTCCTGTAGCTAAAGTATCCTGATACCAGAAGAGCCTGTACTGTAGCTAAGTATATGTAAAACACTATTGATCCGCAAACAGTGGTTTGAACCCAATTGAATCTATTTTTCCAACACCTATAAATAGACAACTGTTCCTGAGAATCAGATATAATGGATAATTGATAAAAAAAAGTTCATACTTTTAAATTACAGTTTCTAAAATCAATTTGTGCTCAGTTCAAACACAAAACCGTGGGGTTTTATTATCAGAGACTCTATAGCCTGACAGAGTGACATTGCGCCATATTCAATGTAACAGCTTGTTACCTGTTCAGGAGCAGAGACTGACGCACACACTCTGACTGGATGTGTGTTCTGGGGCGAGTCTGCAAACAGATTAAGAGGAAACATGAGCTTTAAGCTGTTGCATGTTTCAGTACTTTCCACTTACATGTTTGCTAAAAGTGCTGTGTTCACATTTTCCCATTTCTAATTGTGACAGCCCACAAAACTTAATCTAATGTTCGACACATTTCTCCAGCCCCTCAATGAGGGACACAACATTTTTTGGGGGGCACATATACTACTATCCTATAAAGTAGTGCAGCAAGACTTATCCTGTAACTAATAGATTTCACACTTTCCTAGTCGACTACAACAACATATATTTGTTTGTAGCTCCTTTCACGTTGGGAGGACATCCCAAGGCACTGAACAGTCAGGGATTTAATATTAATAACCGACAAATGTTATTTAGTACAAGTCAATCTGCAAATAACATTTTGGAACAGGATTTTGATGGACTGCCTTGCAGTATACCCATATTATACCAACCACCTGAATTGTTAATTAAATCTCTAAAGTCTATTGGTCTTTAAGGGGGTTACCACTCAATCAAGAGCGCAGATGCTTTGGATGTCTACGCAAGCAAACTAAGCAACTGAGAAATTGTTAACTGCAGCATTTATGCCTAATGGACTGCCTTGCATCACATGAATCAAATGTCAGGTATGTGTGTATAAGGGGTGGTGGGGGGGGGGGAAAGCCAGTTGACAGCGAGTGTGAACAATGTTTGCTCTGATCTGTCCTCCGATAGCAGCTTATGTGTACCACCTGCTGGCTCTCTACCGGCATTACAGTACAAATTAAATCACACAACAAATCCTGATTGTGCCTTGAGGAACATAACCAGCTCCCAATTGAATTTTGTTAACATTTTTTTTAAAAAAAAGGAGTACCTGAGTTCAAGCACAAGAGGCGAAACAGAGAATGTTCTGGGGGTAACAACCTGTAGTCACTTAAAGATAAATTACATTCTGACAACCCCAGACATGACCGAACCTGGGTATTTTGCACTGATTCTTTTAAGACTAGTTTGCACCAATCTACACCAACTCAGTAGTTTACGAACATTTTGTGGAGAAAATTAGGGAGCTCCCAGTTTTAAGGTTTTACTTTATTGATCTGTTTTATTAATATTGCCATAGCCTGTCACACCTTTCTCTGTTGTTCCTTTTAAACTCCAAATCAGTTGTCTACATGTTCTTCCCACTCCCTGGATTATATTCAACACTTACAGCGCCATCTACTACTCTTAACTCATTTTTTCTCAACGCTGTAGAACTCAGTCTTTTCCTCAAACATCCCACAAGCTACAACACCTAACCTCACGTTACACTACCCTGCGTGAGGGGCGCTATATAAATGCAAGTTGTCATCACTTCACCCCCTAATCATATCCCTTCTTAACCTTGATTCCTATCCTCCAATCTTAATAGCAATCCTTGCAACATCCCCTCAGTTCTCAATTTACAATTAAGGAATTTAAACAGAAACTAAATTCTTTCCCAGCCTCTCTTGTCTCGGCCTTTGCAATAGCAGGTCTGTGACTGGATCACTTGCCCACTCTCACCTGGTCTGGGAATAGTGTTCGATGACATGGAACAAAGATATGGATGGAATTATCTTCAAGAAAGTGGAGAAGACGTATATTAAAAAAAACACTGACTTCCCACTGGGATGTTTAGATAGTTGACACTGTTTGAAAATGGAAATTTCCTGTCACTTTTCTATCAATTTTCTCCACTCTGTTGGTAGACTAATCCACACAAAATTAATCACTATCAATATCTCCATTATTCTCCTCTCTCCATCTACTGCAGTTCAACTGTTATTCTCTTTAAAAGCACTAACCCTCAATTGCCTTTCTTCATCATGTCCAGCACTGGCCTGTTGATATGCCATTCTCCCTGCAATAAAACCATGTCCAATTCTGTGAGATGAGTCTACCATTATTGGATGAACCACTTCAAGCTGCAGTCTCACACCAGATGTTTGCTCTCCAAGAAGAAATTAAGTCTAATTTGTTCATATAAGATTTTCTTCTAAGTCTTTCTGTCAGAGATATTTGTATGCTCGGAATCAACATCATTTTTGACTTATAATTTTTCCAGTTTAAAAACTCCTCAATTGCTGTCCCTTCTTAAGGTTTTATTGGAATTTCCAATTATCTGCACAAAGGGAATATACATAATAAGAAACAAAAGACATTCCTTATTACATATTGAAAGACATTTTGACGATTAACTAATGGAAGAACATAATTCAAGAAAAAATTATACCATTTGCAAATTACAATCAATGAATGCCTGATACAGATATCTGTTAAGTCTCTTTTAAACAAGGTTTTATTTTACTGATTTTATGCTAGCCAAGCGAGTGCTCTCACCACTGAGCTACAAGACTCCACTGTGCATCAAGCTTTGCTAATTTGGTAACGTTGAGAACCAGAGGAGTATCAATGCAATGAGGGCAAGGAGCCTGTGTGGGTTAGGCTGCTTGGGAAAGTAGGGGCAGAACATAAGAAGAAAAAGAAGAATCCGTGCATTTGATATAGTGCTTTTATCACATTGTTGAGATGTCGTAAAGCGCTGCGAATAATATATTGTAAAGTGGATTGACTGTGTATTGCACGGGCACAAACATCTGCAAACAATTGTAATGGAAAATGCCTGAACAAGGCAACACTTTCCAGTCACCTGCTCTGTGTTTCAGTTGGCACTTTGCAGTTTGTACCAGGAAGGATATTAGGCAACATGATTAGCAGCCAAGGGAACTCATGAAATAACAGCCGGTCTTAATGAATAAGGGAACTCTCCCTTGGCAAATGAATAATGCTGCATCTCCATCATTAATGGAGAAAGTCGTGTTCAAAACATCTTATTAAATTCAGCCAGAAGAAACCCACCAGGACTCAGATCTGCATGGCTTTGAAAACTCCCTCTGTTTCAGACTGTGCCAAATGCAGCCCAGGAGAGAGCCGCAATCTGCATTATTAGATCCTCCCCAACGAATTTGAGTATGTGAGAAAATATTTACTGTTCCTTGTGAAGGATCGACATGTCAGAGGAACCATACACATCTCAAACTGATCCATTTTCATCTGCTAAAATACCCCGAGTTCAAGCCCAGTGAGCGGAGAAATTCATTTTACAGCAAGACTCTTCGGGTTTAGAAAATAATACATCTCAGCACAAATCTTTAGAGACACATTAGAGTCTTGAAATCTCTTAGTGTACAATACAATGTTCCTGTGATAGTCAAAAGTTGGGCCTGACTTTTTATTAAAAAATTCATCTTTAGTAAAATTTCAGTAAGTTTTTTTTTTAAAATGTCAAATTCTATTGCTCACACACTCGAATTTTACTGCTCACACAAATGTAAAACAACCGAGATACCTAAACGCACAGGAGCAAGTCCCTTATAGCCGATACTGATCCTTAAAGCTGCCTACCTTTGATCCACATTCCTGACACCGTTGATCTATTCCTCCGCATCCAGAGTTGGTCTCAGTGACGTCACCAAGTTGTTCTAACGCTGCAACAAGAGGCTGAGATATCAAAGGCATTTCCATTTTAAAGCATCAGGTCTTATATTGGTAGAAATTAATTAACTTCCAGTTGTCTGGATCCATAGATACAGTATAGCAAAACAGACTAGAGATATCCTGACACAAACCAAAAACCTTTAAAACAGAAAGTGAGACCACTGAATAGCTAACCCCAACCCAAAGCTGGATTTCCACATTTTATCTATTGACCCTGATGGCAAATCTCCAAACATCTGCTCACTAGACACAGCAGGGATTGTTTTACTGATTTTATTTGAGTGGTCATCAGGGTGGGGAAACTGCAGAAAGAAATAATCCACCTACTCCGATAGAGGAAAAAAAGGCCAAATTACCAAGAATATACAACACGGGGATACACAAAATTCCCGGTATTAAACCTTCAATCTTGGGACAGTTAGTCCCCTTTGGGACGTCCTCCCAATGTTAAAGGCACTTTATAAATGTAAACTTGCTCTTGTTGGACATCTACAAGATGCTGGCGATTGGAACAAAACTTGCTTTGGTCTTCAGGGAGACCTCCTCCTGAGGTGGTAGTAATAACAATAATAACAATAACAATAATAATAATAACAGAAGGATTTAAAGGACAAAAAGCATCCCCTCCCTCGAACCTGGGAATGGAAACAAACCATCAAATAAATGAATCAACACTGAAACATGAATGAATAAAATAAATGAATCAACACTTGGAAATGCTGTAAGGATTATTACCTCCGTGATACTTGAGATACATTGGAAGGATCCACAGGTCAGCATTCCGCCTACCTACCTGATCAAAACGTGGCAAGATTCCCAGGCCTTTCGCATGATGAAGGCAGGACAGTGCAACTTTTGGTTCTGCTCCCGTTGCATCCTCAGGTGGGCAACAGGTGAAAGGTTTTCTCCCCCGTTTCAAGCACCTTTCAACTTTCTGCGGTCAGGAGTCAAACTAAATAAGCCCTCCGGATGATCATAAATAGCAAGTCTCTTTTCATTGCTTAAAACAGGTACAATCTCACCAGCCATAAACATCCCTGGAACACAGAAACAGTCCTTCCCGGCTGATATGTGGGAATTTTACAGCAGGTGGCACTTTGCTCAGTGCTACAGATTATGACTGACGCCTGGTGGTCAGCAGCAGAATACCAACACACAAAATTTATTGGAATTGAATGAATTTATTGATCTTGCACTTTAAGTTGCTCACAGTTATATTACAATGGGCAAGGTGGGTGGGTGGATGGTGGGTGGGTGGGTACATTTGATGGTTGATCTGTTAAATAAGGTATTTTTCTCCAAAGTACAAAATAGGAAGGATATCAATAGAAGTATTGCTTTATTTCTCCCCTTCCTGCTTGTACCGTCCGTGTTGTAGTTCAGCCTATCTGCAGAGGTACGGTGTAAGGAAGCATTAATTTGTGCACAAGGAGATCAAGAAAGAGGACAGCGCATTATGGGAACAATTACAGCAACGTCATGCAAAGAAAAACCATGTCTGACATGCATACAGTTATACAAGATAAATTCAATTACAGTAACCTCCAATGGGTCACATTTCATTGTCGATTTACTTATGTACAAGAACTGGTCCAATAGTTTCACCTGTAGAACACGCACACTGATATGAAACTAACAAATAGCAATATAAGATAATCATTTCAGACACTACTGCTATTCTACATTCTTAAAGTACCGTTATATTTTTTTTAAACATATACTACAAGTTCCTTGAATTGGGACAGAATAAGTTAAGATTGTTCACAGAGCTCTGATAAAGTGGACAAAATATTTTTTTTTCTTTTAATAAATACAGTAATGTGTTGCCTCTTATAAGTCATTCACAATGAAGACAACGCACACCTAGAAGTTTCTGCCGATAAATTACCAGGGCTCAATAAATAAAATCCCGAAAGAAACACAAAAGGTATATAAAAATGTTCACAATAAATCTCGCCTTTTACAGCAGCGGGTGGTCAAAGCCCCTTAGTAAACCAGCAACACTGTTCAGTCGAACATGGTGCCCTTGTGAAATGAACAAAAAATATATATATACATATATTACCCTGAAAAATAAATAATACTGACAAACTTATAACTGGCAACACAGTGTTTGATTCTGTTGTTCTACAGCTAAACAAGGTGTCACAACTAGACAAACAGGATCTATACAGAAAGAGGAGTGGTTCAAGAAGATGCTTTGGGTACTCTTGTATGGGTTTAGTTCATTGCTGCCGTGTTGTGTTGTCTAACCCCTGATCCCTTACCCCTCAGCAGCAGTTTTCCAAGTCCTGCTTCCCAAAAAAATAGTCCGCTGTAGCTGATGGCTTCGTTGATCAATTTCCCCACCCCCAACAACAGCCCCCTTTCTGGTGAACAATCTGCTGCTGAAGGTGTGTGTCCATCCCGCTAGGATTCCTTTCCTTCCTGGGATGCAGGAGCTCCAGAGCGGTCAGTGTTAAGCGACAAAGGGCGCCAGGTTCCCACATGCACCAAGATATCAGCTGCCTCCTTCAACAATTGTCCGCAGCAAAGGAGTCATCAGATGGGATTTAACAAGTTTTCTGGACAATTCCTGGCAGCAGAGTGGAAATAAATCAGGTCATCAAAAAAAAACGAGAGCAGCAAAAAAGAAACAGGGAAACAAATGTTGCAGAGAGAGGGTTTTGCACGTGCTAATCCTCAGTTATATACAATCATTCCGCCATACAAAATTTGTCTATGGATATTGTACCGAAGGAGTCTGTTATTTATATCCTCTCAGAACATGGGACTAATTCTAAAATGGTTTTAAGGTTGGTCTTGTGTCCCAATACTTGGCACCATCTTTGCCTTCTCTCTCCCAGCTGGAAATTTAGAGTCTCCTCTAGAATCATAGTCACTAGTGTCGGAATCAATCCGCTTGCTGTTTGTGCCATGTTTGGTTGGTGTACCTGGCGGGTGGGCTACTTGCCCATTGTTCTTCTCGTCTGAAAAAAGTTGTTTAATTACGTCAAAGAAGTTACTCAATGGGCTGCCTGGGTATACAAACAGAAAGAAAGAAAGAACAAACAAACAAATGAACAATGGGTCACGAGAGAGAGACAGAGACAGAGAGAGAGAGAGAGAGAGAGGTGAAATGAGATCCACAGCCACGGGGTGTCTAAAGGAAGAATCACCTCAGCACTCAACCTTTGAAGTTGCAGCATTTTGCTTAGTTGGTTGTTTGCTTTGCTTTGCAAATTGACGAGAGCCAAATATAAGTCACTTGCAACTTAGCTTTTTAAATGGCTCAGTTTGTTCTACTTGAATGGAATTAGTTGACGGAAAGAATGGAAGAGAGCACCGATGATGCTGGAAAAGGAGAGACTAAGTCTCACTGGAAGAAAAGGATGTTGCTGAGAAACAGTTTTAGTTCCTTCTGACACAATTACTGGTACTGATGTCACAAACATTTCAGCATGGAAACTCTCCACTCTCTTACATCTTTCTGTGTAAAGCCTGGCTCAGAGAAACAATTTATTTATAAATAATTTAAAAAAGAGGATTTTTAACCCTCTCCAGTCTGGAGTAGCAGCAATTTACAGCGCCAAGCAAGCCAGATCAATGAGCATTTAACAAGGTGGAACAGACCATGCAACCCTGAAGGGTATCATTCATTGCTAAAGGATCCAGGCCATTGAGTATTTACCATCTCCACAGGAATATCATCAACTGTTTGAAGTAAAATAAGCACAAAACTGCGTTTGGCCGTGTGAGAACTGGCTTCAAAGACCGGTCATCCATCGCCCACAAGACCTGTCACTCCCCACCCAGTTATAATACAAGAAGAAACTACATTCAAACTGTCCTCTGCAAAGAACTGAGGCTAAACCTGACACATCCCCTCTGTAACAGCTTCTCGGGACCTGCCACCGCGCTCAACATTCAATTGTTTTACAGCTTATTGAATGCAAGAATTAATAACTGCCTCAAGTTTTCAACTTCCTTAAAAAAAGATTCAATAAGCAGGAAAATAAATAGAAACTACCTTTATACTGTCCTTGTGAAAAAGATCAACAAACTCCACTCTGTTTTTTGTTGGAGGATCGTACCCAAAATACTGACATATTTTACTCTTTGCTTTGAATTGTGTTGAAATTGAAAAGATGTCAATTCGCCTTTAAAATACAGTCACTGCACTTTACGGTACAATACAGTACAGATATCTGGTCAATGCTTTGAGATGTCCTCCCAATATGAAAGGCGCTATACCAAATGCATTTACTATTTAAAGACAATGTGGCCAGGAATCATTTTAGTGAGAAGAATGCAAAAACAATAGGAGTTGTATATAAAAGCTATCCTGATGATATACAGCGCAGGTACTAACAGTAGGAATTCTCGCCTCTTGAGTGAGTGTAGGTTGTGGGTTCAGGCCCCATGTCATGACTTTGAGCTCATAATCTGAGGCTCCAATGTGTTGCCGGAGGAGTACTGCATCCATGGAGATGCTGTCCTTCAGATGGGACAAAAACCGCAGGCCCATTTGCTTGTTCAGATGGACGATAAAGATCCCATGACACTATTCAAAAAGAGAAGGGGGATTCTTCTGATATCCTGGCCAACAATCCCCCAGATAAAAAATTGTTCATTCACTTCATGGATATTTGCTGTATGCAAAGTGGCTGCACTATTTGTCTAAAAAGTGCACAGCCAGTACACTTCATAGTAAGCCGTGATAAGGCACTATATCAAATGTAATGATTATGTTATTATTATTGTAGCTCAGGCTGCAGATGTGTGAATTACCCACAAAATAAAAGCAATCTGATCCGACGTTCAAAGTCTCTTTAAAATGAAAATTGTCCGAATCTGACAGTGTAGCATTCCTATTCTAAAAATCAGGGATTTCTCCACCCACCCAACCACCACCCCCCCACCTCACCCCCTCACCCCACACCGACAATCTTTTCATAAACACAATACAGTGGACATTCATGTGATGAATAAAGTCAGGATTTGTTTGGTATTGAGAGAATTTGGTATTGGTATTGATCAGATTTTTGTTCCCCTTTGATTCACATTCTTTTTTTGCTTCGACTCCCTGCCTTTAATCCAGAATCTTTTCGGCTCTTCTGAAGGCACGATTCCCACCAGCATCCGCTTCTAGAGCATGCGCTGCCCTCAAACATCCCATCCAAGAGACCATTCCTCACATGTGAGATTATCCAATACCTTGGGACGTCCTTCCAACGTGAAAGGCGCTGTATAAATGTAACCCGCTGCTATACACACATGCCTCTGTTTACCTAGCAGGAAGTAGGAACCCGGTTGTTAATCGATTGGCGGATTGCTTTTCCGGGGGTAATAATTCCTTCAAAATAAATAAAAATTAATTTGATCACTCAATCCACCACAGTTTGTGGGACACTGCTGTGTGCAATTGGCTGCCGGTTTTGCCCACAAAACATAAGTCAATTCATTTTACAGTATAATCTGTGAAGCGCTTTGAGACGTCTCAAAGACGTGATAAGGCATGATATCAAATGCAAGAATTATTATTATTATTTTTATATTATAGGGTTGGTGAGTTATATGACTGAGGAGTGATCATCCTGACCCGATAAATAAATAAATCATAAATAAATCATCCTGACCCTACATAAACGACTGTAAAATCTTCTCTTTGTGTTAAATTTGAGACAAGTGAGCCAGAGGCCAAAGACCAGGAAATGCGGAGCACTGAGCTAGGTAATGGGGCAAGCGGCAAGCCAGCTGATAAAGGCTCCTCGGGTTTCCAAACCACACTTGTTAATTAGCTCGGTTGATAATCTGATTACACTTGTCACAAGGCTACAACCCAGGCAGCTGTCCTCCCAAGAGATTGCAACCCACACACACACACAGGTCTGGCACTCTGCCATCGAGCTCCACATGCGCCACGCGTTCTCACACCCGCTCCCAGGAAGTGGCAGAGGTTGGGAGCACGGCCGATGTGCTGGGACTGAGCTTCCTGTCACATCCCTGGGGTGAAGATGTCCTGAGTTACTGGCTTCTGGCTAATCACACAAGTTGACGTCAGGCAAAAGCCAGGGAGAATGGCCATTTCTCCAGGGACGGGCAGATATCATCACGAAAACCATTCGGCGCTACCTCAATTACTATATTTATCCATTTTGTTGGCCAATAATATCATCTAAAATTTTTAAACAAATGACTTTGTATGCAAATAATATTAATGAAGCTTCCACACTCCTGTGCTGGGATGCCTCCTTTAGGAAATTAGACAGTCACATTCAGCTTCAACACTATTGCTGCCTCCCTTTCTTGGTTAATTTGCTCTCCTCCTCTCTTGAAGTTGCTAACTCTCACTGTGGTAACGTTCCACAGGCAACTCAACAATACATTCTCTTAGTGACCATTCTCCATGTGTCAGGCTAAACAGCGAATACTCCTGGCCCTGACGGTAGGGTGCATCTGATATCGGTTGGATTGAATTATAGGAACATTACACACTCTTTAAACAACTGCTGTGTTCAACTAAGAGGCTTTGCTTTCATTTCCGCTCATTTTCAGCGAATCAGATACATTAATGCTTTCTGCTAACAGTCCCATCATAAGGCCATCTGATGCCTGATTATCATTACTGTACCACCAGAAGTGACTGCATTGATCAGCCCCGTTTGTTTCCAAGCATTTTGAGGCAGGGATGTGTGTGCGCTTGGGTGTACAGCCAGCAAACAGATGCGGTGTGTCAGAATCCTTGTACCTTGGCGAAACCCACAGGACCTGATCATCTCCTCTAATACACGGACACAAAACATCAAATGAGCTCTGCATCTGTCCATAGCCATCTGCCAAAGGAGCCCATTGAACTCAGGGCTATTCCCTTATTAAAATCCTTGCCCATGACAGGTTGATAGATTAAAAACAAGTTTAAAGGACCATTTACTATTCTTTGTGGTGTTTAATTCTGGACGCTTATCATGTTTAACACAAAAGTATTTGCTGGTCTTTTTGTGAGTTAGTTAACCCTTGTGGCTCCTGAGGGTATTGAATGCTTTTCATTAATCAATGGTACAGTTTCACTGAGCTGAACATCATGAATCCTGGATGCCCGAACGCTCAGGCTGACTCCTTTGTGGGCTGACTAGTTATCAAATTTAAGTGTTTTCCGAATATAAAACTATTATAATACATTAATTGCAAAAGCACACAAAGGAGATAAACAAAGATGATTGGCCAAACCCGGATGGCAGAACAAAAGGCAATTCAGTACTCCACAATCTTCCCATTTGGACTCGGTGTTGAAAAAATATGACCCATTGTTGTGAAACATACAGGTGTTTGGAGGTTTTACAAGGCCAGTGGCTTTGTAAAACCAGAACTTCCAAAACCCATTGGATTTGTGTCATCAGAATCAGCCGAAAATGGCATTTAATTAGATCCAAAAGATGAACACATGCCTAATGCATCACCCTGAAGGGTTTAAATAGTGGCGGATTTGGGTGAAACTTTCAACTAAACCCAATAAGAAAACAAACTATATTGTTGTCTATAAGCAAAGCTTGAAAGAACATCACAAAAAATTACCTAAGCAACTCAACAAGTCTT